AAAGCACCATTTTGCAAAAAAAAAAAAAAAACCTTTTTAAAAGCTTTTTATGCTAAAAAAACCGCCATGTTCATTTTTTTTGCGAGAGGAAACCTATTTCCTTAATTACCGTCTAAGTAACTTAATTAGACTCTAATTTCGTCTCATTTCTTCTAATTAACCTCTAACCCACCAAATTACTAAATAATTAGATATAATTTAGGAAAATTCAATAGGAATAATCCAACCTTTTGTCCGTTCTCCCATATTAATCCCACCTTTTGATTATTCCTCATTAATCCAACCTTTGCCCCCCTTTTTCTCACAGCAACCCTTGGAGGTCATCTACCGGTTACAACCGGTTATTAGTGCTACGTGGCACTTCCTAATTGGTTTTTTGTTTTTTTTTATTTACTTTTTTTTTTAATTTTAATAAGTAAAAAAAAAATAACCCTTCTTTATTCTTTCTCTCTCTTACCCCGTCACCCGATTCACCACCATCCTTCTCTCTCTCATTTCCCTTCCATGGCCATCCTCCATTACCACCATCCTCCTCAATTACCATCTCAACTTCCCTCCTTACTAACCAACAAAAACACCAACATCACCATGTACCACAACCACCATGAAACCCTTCATCCACCCTCTCGACCTCACTACACCACCCTCGCCATTTGAAAACCATCTAAACCCACCCAATTACCAACCCCCACAACCTGGAAACCAACCCCAAAATCTAAAAATCAATCCAACCCATCGGGATCTAGTTGCTGCGATTACCTTTAGGAGGTGGTGCGGGTGGTTGATTGTTGCGAGGGAGTTGTGGTGGTCAATTTTCGGGTGAGTTGTTGCAGATGGTCATTGTGGCTACTGTGATGTTTTGTAGGGTGTTGTTTGTTGTTGTAGTTGGTGCGACTGCTGAGATGGAGTGGCTGATGGCAAAGGATTGGTGTTGAGTGGGTTAATTGGGAAGTGGGTAAGGTAGTAATTAGGTTTTTAAGGATGGATTAGCCATAAAATTAGTCTATGGAAGGGTTCTGGTGGTGGGGATGGGGTGAGGGTGCGCCGGAGTATTGTAATGGTGGTGGAGATGGGGTGGTTTAAGTGGGTGGCTACCATTGAAATGGGTAAGGAGAATTTCGTGGGTGAGAGCTTGTTTTGGGGTGGAGGGGGGTTGGCTGTTTTTTGGAAGGTGGGGGCTGCTTTGGTGGAAGGTGGTGGCTGTTTTGGTGCTAGTGGTGGCCAAAGGTGTAAGGTGGTCAAGGGTGGTGAACGGAGGTGGAGCTTTGGGTGGTGGTAATGGAGGAAGATGATGGCAAATGGTAAGAGGAAGGAGAGGGAAAAGATGACCAGTTGTTTAGGTAACCGGTCATTTGGGTTCATTTTGGGAAGATGGGGTATAAATGTTGGATTAATGAGGAATAATCAAAAGGTGGGATTAATATGGGAGAACGGACAAAAGGTAGGATTATTCCTGTTAAATTTTCCAATTTATATATAAAAAACCCACCACCCCCAACCACCAACCAACCACCCCCTCCCCTTCCTCCTCCCTTTCCCCCTCCCTTGGCAGCAACCCCCTCCCCTACTAGACCCACCTCCCAATTCCCCCCACCTCCGGCAACCTACCTCCACCGCTGGTCGATCCTCCCTTTCCTCCTTATCCCCGCCGGCGACCACCACCTCCTTGATTTTGAAAAACCCTAGAAAATCGATTGGGGGTTTTTAATTTTTGTGCATCTTGCTTGTAATTGATACTTGTTTTGGCTTTGATTATGTATGTATGTGATGATAGGGTGATTTAGAAGCATATTGCAATTGATTTGGACTTGATTTGAGCATGTTTGAGTAATTAAGAGCCAAAAATTCGAAGGGAGGTGGTGGTCGCCGACGGGGATAGGGAGCAAAGAGAGGGTCAACTAGTGGTGGAGGTAGGTCGCCGGAGGTGGGGGGATCTGGGCAGCGGGTCCTGTGGGGGAGGGGGTTGCTCCCAAGGGAGGAGGAAGGGGAGGGGGTGGTTGGTTGGTGGTTGGGGGTGGTGGGTTTTTTTTATATATAAATTAAATCTAATTATTTAGTAATTTGGTGGGTTAGAGGTTAATTAGAAGAAATGGGAGGAAATTAGAGTTTAATTACAGAAATAGGTTTTCTCTTGCAAAAAAAAATGAACGTGGTGGTATTTTATAACCAAAAAGCTTTTCAAAGGTTTTTTTTTTTCGCAAAATGGCTTTTAAAAGGTTTTTCCGACAAATTTCCTAAAAAAAAAAAAACAAAAAACACCCCTGAAATAGTCAACTTCTTCATCAAAAAGGTTTTTCCAATTATTTTACATTTCATAGGAACCAAAACAAAAATATATAGTAGGAAAATTGGCTTAAAATAATCCTAACTATTAGCGGTGGGTGTAAAATAATACGAACTGCTTTCAACGGTACCACCTTTTGTAATATATGTGGAAAATGGTACGCCAGCTATCGGAGAAGGTATCTCGAGGAATATTTCGTCCATATTTATTATTATAATATTTTATACTATTATTTTTTTTTCCAAAGTACATAATTCCTACATCTTATTTACAATAACACACTATTTTGACATAACACACATTTTAAGAGAGACACTAGACTTGATAAATGGACAAATTAATCAACAAAAGTTTACCACCAATAAGAAGAAACTATCATGTTTAAAAAATTGAAGAAGAAAGTGTTAAGTTGCTACAATTAAAATTTGTAGCATTATTTGTCCGCTTACATAGTCTAATAATTTTTTCAAATAGCTTAGCATGTCAAAAGGTGTGTTGTAAGTATAAAAAACAAAGGAAATATTATGTTAATTTTGGTTGTTAATACATTTTTGAAACTAATTAATTATATCAATATAATATGCATTTAAATACCCTATTTACTTTTGTTTGATAGTAAAAAAAAAATCTTTAGAGAAATTAATTTACTAGCCTAACAAAGGGGCTGAGTATTATTAATTTGGATAGGATGAAATTATTAACATAAAATGTGCAAATAGTTGAGGTCGTATTATTTTGCACACACCGTTAATAGTTGGTATGATTTTAAGCCAATTTTCCTATATAGTATTCATTATCTTTTATGATTAAGTTATATAAAAGTGGAATTATGAATATTCTCTAAATTAGAGATTCAAGAATTGAGGAAATATGATGGTTAATTTAGTGAAAAATTTACCCTTATAGTCACATCAAATCATCACCTATTGTTCCGAACACACCTTATTAATCGATATCAATATCTTTCACTATGACGCTACGTATTGTCAAATGTGACTTATTATTTGACATCAAAGGTATTCCATTCATTTCGATCAGATAAAATTGTAGAGTTCACAAGCATAAGAAACAAACAAAGCCATTCCATAAAAATTCAGTTGTGTTTGTAATTGTAATGTATACCAACAAAATTACAAAAAAAACAAAATTAATACTCTTATAGGAGTATTACAATATATCTTTTCACTCCTCAAAAAATAACAAAATAACTAAAATAAAATAGAGGAAGGCATTTTTTTTTTTTTTTCTGTGTGTAAATCAATCACCTAACCAAAAGTGTACTATTATTCTGAGATAGGCTAAACCTGGTGGGCTTGGGCTTGAAGCGCCAACGCCTTTGGAGATCATGTCTTGATGGGTTGATAATCTGTAACAATAAGGCCTTCAACAGGCTGGTCTTTATGGCACTATTGGGCTCAATTTTCCTGAAGTTAGGCCTTGCTGGTGGAGATCTCATCGGAAACTTTCGTCAGCCGCGGTGGAAGCTGCACCGGAAAGAGCCTTGATGGGTGGTAGGAGAGCAAAGGCATGTTCTTTTGGTGGTGGAGTTTGAGGTTTTGGTAGCCATGCCAACATGCTTTTCCATTTGCAATATTATCTTCTATTCTCTAGGCATGCATATCACATAGGAGGAAAATGACCAAGTTACACTTTGCCTATTCCAAAATTAAATTTTTATTGGACTATAAGTAATGGAGCACAATTATGGTGTTGACCTTATCCAATAGTTATCCACCTAAATCATACATGGATATTCATTATAAGATTACGTGAACAATCAAGGGTAAGGTAGGTCTAGTGGCCAAAGTTCTTGTTTATCTTTTAATTCGAAGATTGAATCGCACAAGAATGGTTGTTCGATGTCATTGCATGACTTTCTACATATCACAAAGATTTTGTTTGAACTTAAAATTTTGTACATCTGTAATTTTAGTTTATGGGAGCATTGGAGCCTTCTCAAAACAAACATTCTATCTCTTGTAAGGGGATGATAGTCTGATTTAGTATATTTGTATCGGCTATACTTAGTAGTACATGTGTACCCTAAAATATTGCTAACTAGTCAAAGGCTCTAATATCTTCTAAAACTAATTTTATGGTTGAATGCAAATTTTGACAGAGATGTGACAGGTATATATGAACCGTAAATTTTATCATTTTGAATAGGTTGCTAACCAATTTAGTCATCTTTTGCTTTCACGTTTCAAGAGTTGATTGCAACATTGTATGCATTTTGGGTTGACACTCAACACAAATTCATCTCATCAAACGCTTCTTAATTACATTAAGAAAAACAACCCAACAACATTCACCTTAATCCCTTCCTTTAAATATTTTAATGTTTTAGTTTAATGAATCAAATGCTACACGGTGATTTGTTTGATTAAAGTAACTTTTTTATGAGATCAATAAAGACAACAATTTTATTTTTATGATGACATATACATGTAACAAATACTTGTATAACATATTGTGTGACAAAACAACTAAAAATTCTAAGTAATACACTTTATATAGATACTCAACATACCACATTCATAATACATTTAACATTTTTTTTTTGCTTTATTTATAACATTTTACTACATTTTTTAAAGAAAAATATATCAAAAGTTAATATTATATGAGGTACTTCATATATAATTACATAGCTGGATTGGTTTCATTGAATATCAAGTTTTTATTAAAATATTTTTTATTTATTTCGTATTTAGTATCAAGATGGTCAAACTTGTGAAGAAAGTCAAGTGTGTCAATTATTTTAGAATAGAGAAAATACTTGTGATTATAAACTAATGCTCGAAGTTGTGTGTTACACACAATCTAATCAAGAAGGTAATTTGGTAGTTTCATACTTTCATAGTTTGGTTACTTTGGTATTGTTCATTGTTTGTGCAATTATGCCTCTTGATAAAGAAAATTAATTCATGTGCTTAACCTTGAACAAGAAGTGCCCACTCTAGAGCTTAGACAAAAGTGAGCACATCTCACATTCTCACTTCCCATAAAATCCCATTCATACCCTCAACCCAGTTTCCTCTCTCCTCTTTGACTCCCCAACAATGGCAGCAACCCATTTACAGCTTCATTTGGCGGCGCCATTAAAACCCCGAATTCATCTTCATAAAGCTAAAACCTTTGCTACAATTAACCCCACAAAATTCCCAACTGTGCGATGTTCTGCTGCTGCTGCAACGCCCACCAAAAGAAGCTACAACATCACTCTTCTTCCTGGTGATGGCATTGGCCCTGAAATTATCTCTATTTCTAAAGATGTTCTTCAATTAGCCGCATCTCTTGAAGGTTTTGACATTGTTTTTGTTCAATTATTGTTACTTTTGAATTTAAATTTCGTTTATTGTTATCTTGTATTGAATTGGGTTTCAGCTATTCTACTACTTTGTGATCTTTGTAGAAAGTTAGAAACCCTTATAACGATGATTATGGCTGAAATGAAGGATACATTGATGTAGCTGGAAATGTGTGTTAGGTGAATATTTGTCATTGCAGTTGGGGTTGTCCCACTTGATTGTGTGTGTTTGGTGGATGGATGGGTGGGGGTATTGTTAATTTATTCTTCATTGTTGAGAATTCGATTTCGGATTGCGTCATTGTGGTTGTACTCTTCATTATTGAGTGGATAATAGGGCGGGGTTGTTAAGAAAAAGGAGAATTTTGTAAGTGTTAGTGAGGATTAGGGTATAGGAATTTTGAGGTGGGTCATTGCTTGGATAAAGGTAACATTTTATGAATTTTGGGATGATAAAGGTTTGACGAATATGATTGTTGAGTAAATTTTTAATCTTGATATTGAGAGCTGTCTTTGGCGGGTGCTCTGCGGTATAATGTTTATAATGTTATATGTAGCCATGTAGGACACAAAGGCATAATATACTCATAATTAGTTGGATTGGTGTGTTGTGTGGAGAGGGAAAAATGAGCTAGAGAACAACAGAGAGGAAATGAGAAAGGAGATATTCATTCCCTTCAATAGTAGTGTATCATTTTCTTCTCACTTTATGAAGTGTAGTAGGAGAAGTATGACTAAAATGTGTATGATTTTGTTTTTAGAAAAAGTTAAGTTTAGGGAGATACAATGATAGGTTTTAGGGTTTGATAAGAGGGTTTCTAGATTTCCCATGCATAACTTGTTGCTTGTTTGATGAAAAGTTGAGTATTTTTGTGCGGGTGTGGATACTTTAGGACAACTTCACAACTTTACATAATCCCACTTGACAAAAATTCTTGATTTATTTATAAAGAATGATCACTTGTCCTTTCTAGACTTTATACTTTTTAGGCTTCCTTCTTGCTGAAATGGATTGTTGATGTAGATGACATTTGTACTAACCAAAGAAGTGGTATTTCTTTTTATTAGCAGTAGTTTGTGTTTGAGATGTCGTGTACAAAGCTATATAAAAGTATCCAATCTTTCTAGTATGACCATTGGTTCTATGACAGTCGTTCATGGATGTTTATAAACTCCTTCTATCTATGTTTAGCAGCACTTTAGGATGAAATAACCGTTAATTCAAGGGAGAGGCCCAAACAAGAGAAGTTTATGGTGAATACCTAGCTGCCAGAGATGTAGAAGGGTGTGGTATTCTTTGGATAAGATCATGAACAAATCTTAGGCGGAACTGTGGAAGGGATGGCTATCTTTGTTTCTTGAGTTTAAGGGCTTGATGTTTTAGGTTGCTTCCCTCGTGCAATTATATATAAGTGTTGATTTAAGGTTAAAGGTGACAGATTGGGCTTGTCTTAATCTGGATTAGTCAAAGTGAGACCATCAGCATTCAGTTAGCTTAGAGCTTATCGATATCTTTTGTAGTTATATGACTAATACGTGAGAAGTGGAATAAAGAGATTGATGTTTCCCAATAACCTCATCTATATCTATACTTGTATATTAAAAAGCGTTCCTAAGGATGTTTACCTTGCTTCCTTATGGTTTATAGGGCATTTTTAGGGGTATCTCACTTTCGAAATTTCAGTTTACTTACTTTGAGTAAACTTTGTTTATTTGGGTCTATTTGGTGCAAACACATAACTAAAGGTGTATCCAATTAAATTTTCTGAGCATCAGACTGTGTTCAGTTGGCTCTCAGCCTCTTAGAGTGGAAGGGCTCATAAAGGTTTTGAGGACATTCTGTTAAATGTCAGGTTTTCACGTCAAATCATGCCATTACTGTTTGCTACTTGCACCTTGTTGAGTGTAACTATAGAGCATCAAGACTTCTGCAGTATGTAAATTGTGATTAACATAATGAATGAATTAACTATACCTTTCTAAAAAGGCTACTCCATATGTACATATGGACCTCCTAAACCCTGACTAAGTGCAGGGTCTGTGGTCTATACACTAGATAACTAATTATATGTTTTTGGTTAACTTCTATATCTGCCATTCTGCCTTATGCTGCAAATTGTTAAAAGTTAAATTATTGAAATTATGCTTGTCAGAAATGATTTTTTTTTTTTTTTTTTTTTTGGCAGCTTTTCAGTTGGTCATATTGTATTTTTCTGTCAATTTTTAATTTGTTCATTGGCATTCTTAAATTTCTAGGGATTGAGATCAAGTACCAAGAGATGCCTGTTGGTGGCTCTGCTTTTGATCTCGCCGGAGTTCCATTGCCAGAGGAGACCCTTGCAGCAGCAAAACAATCTGATGCTGTTCTTCTTGGAGCTATTGGAGGGTAATATCCATTCCCACTTGTTTTAATTATTTTTTTCTCTCTGTCTTCCCTCCCTTGTAATATGTGAAAATAAGGATGGGTTACTTGGCCATGTCGGAAATCAGGTATAAATGGGACAAACTTGAAAAGAAGTTGAAGCCAGAGACCGGCTTGCTTCAGCTTCGAGCAGGTCTTGACGTGTTTGCAAATTTAAGGCCAGCTACTGTCTTGCCTCAGGTTGCTCTGCTGTTTCTTTTTTCTTTTGCTTATATTCGGTGTTATATATTTTATTTTATTATTATTATTTTTTTTATTATAAAATGTGGTTATGGTGATTTATACTGAAACTTCTTGCATAAATCAAGCTCATGGGCTTTCCCAACCCCCCTCTGTCCCTCTCAAGGCATAACTTTCATTGTTTTCCATGGAGAATATAACTTTTGTAAACGAAGACTACAACTTTGAGTAGCAATGTTCTGGATACTGCAGTGATTACTGTTGAGGTGGGAAGCATTAACCCCTGAATTTTTGTATCCTTTGTTGAAATAAGACGTATATGGCTTATGAATCCCAAGGGTAAAAAACCTTCTAATGTATTTCTATATAAAGCAATGAGAATTATTATGTGACGCAAGTGACCTATAGTTTTGTTGAGTTTAGGAATGTAAAAAATATATTATGAATTGTTTCAACCTACAGTATCTTAAGTCAGATTTGTCTTAATTATGGCCAGTGTAGTACAAGAATCATTTAAGTTTGTCCTTAGTTAATGTAGAAAAACCACTTCGTGAATTTTTGAGGGCAAAAGTTATTTAAGTACTTTCTGAAAGTGTGCCTTGGAAGTAATAACTGTGTGTTAATTAAAATTATTTGCTCTGGAATAAGACTCTCTCTGGCTAAATGCTATTTTATGGGTAAGATTAAATCTTGCTCCTAAAGGATGCGGCTACACTATTATTTATATCTGGTCGAATTCCTAGAATACTTTTGGTGTTATTTAATTTTACTAATATTTTTGAAGTTTCTAATGTATGGGCTTTGGATTTCCAGTTGATCGATTGTACAACATTGAAGAGAGAGGTAGCTGAAGGTGTTGATCTAATGGTGGTGAGGGAGCTTACTGCTGGTAAAAGTCCTATATTGTTGAACTCATTCTGAAAGCGCTTCTAAATAACTTTATTAGTGGATGTAATTTTCTTTCTTCTCTGAAACTTCTGTCTTTATATTCAGGTATTTATTTTGGGGAGCCTAGGGGTTTTGGTGTGAATGAAAAGGGAGAGGAGATTGGTTTCAATACTGAGGTCTATTCTGTTTCTCAGGTATGTTTTCCTAGGCAGATTTTATGTAAACTTTAAGGTAATCTTATCTTTTGTAGAAATACAATTTTTGATGTTTAAAATTGTCCCACAAAAACAAAATGGACTTATCACATAGGTTCTTCGTAAAAGTTCTTTGACATAGAGTGGAGAGGAAATTGGGTGGAATGGGAAATAGGAACTCTGAATCCTTTTAGATAGAGAAATTTGTCAGATATAGTACAAGGTAAGGATTCCTTCTATAGGCAAAAATTAATAAGACCAAAACAAATATACGACTTAGTGACATTTATTTGCAGTGGCTATCCTAGTAAATACGGTTTAGTGGGGAGGTGGCCTGTCTTTGGGATGAGGTGTGTCTGGGTGAAAACTGTTAGGAATACAGGTCTACTAAACTACTAAAGGAGAGACTTTGACTGCTTACACCTTGTTTACGATTCTTCAATATCTTCATTATATTTCCTTTTCTCGTATAAGCGTAGCTCTCAAAATGTCTTACAAATAGGGGCTTCCATCACAGATGGTTATGAGGACCTTGGTTTCGCTTGTTATGGAGCCCAGGAGGGTTGGAAACTTGTCTTCTCTTTCACTTCAAAAGATCCATGAGTGTTAAAGCTGTATGGGAAGAATGTAATGGTATTGGGAAAGTTATCTGTGGAAGGAATACTTTTTATTTCTTAATTTGACTATGTAAAGTTAATCATGAACTAGATTATGTCAGAAGCTTGGGATCATGGAAGTGTACAATGCCAAGTTTCTTTTTTCCATGATAGCAGACTAGGGTTGTTTCCTGTTCCCCTATATTGCTCCAGAGCTGAGCGAAATGTCCATTTAGCTAGGAACACTGTTTGTGCAGTGTAGTTTGGCCTCCATTCTTCTCATTTAGGAATCAGGCTCTATTTGCTTTATTCAGTCATTCCAGTGACAGTAAATGGTGTATGTCTCGGGTTATGGGTTCATGTTTTGTCTATAGGCGGCGGCTAGTGGATTGAGAAAAACCAGATTGTAGTAATTATTCAACCTATGAATTGAACTTGCTTTTTCAATTTTGTTCTTGTTTACTGGATTAAACTGTCTTTGTTTCTGTCATCTTTTTAATTAATAGTTAATGTGTATATAATTTAATATAAGTTAATGATGAAATATTTTTGCTTGATGTGAACATTTCATTTTTCATGATAAACTCACAGTAGTTTCTTCTTGTAGTGAATTGTTTGTGTTGACTTCTCTGCATGGTGCCATGGTGCTCGCTGACTTAATGATAGTGTTGTTATGGTTGCTCATCTATATGTATATCTTGGAGCAAATAGGATGAAACTTTCTTTTGTTTAATTACCTTTATTAGCAGTTAAGCACCCAAAGAAAAAAAATTATTGGAGTTGGGAATAGAGACTTTTTGTCCTTTGCTCCCTCTTTCAATGATGCAGTTATCTCTGCAATTCATGATCTCACATTCATTAAACTGTTTATCAAAATTTTCTTTTGGCAGATTGACCGTATTGCTCGTGTTGCTTTTGAGACTGCTAGAAAGAGGCGTGGGAAACTGTGCTCTGTTGATAAAGCCAATGTTCTAGAGGTTTGTGGTGCTGGTGACTAATAAGAATATTTTAGTTTTTGAGGTGATTTTTGTGTGTGGGTGTGTGTGTGTGTGTGTGTGTGTGTGGGTGTGTGTGTGGGGGGGGGGGGGGGGGGGGGACAATACATCTACATATGGCGATTATGCTATGCATAGCATGTGGATTAGCCTATACTGGCAAGTGACAGTATGGTATAAAGTGCGCTAAAACCCACTAAATAGAATGAATATGGCTATAAAAGTTCTGAGTTATAATTACTATCAGGCACCTTTCCTTTGTACAGAGTTTGAGAGGGTTGTTTACTTCTTTTCTGTATAATATTTGTGGGATGCGTTTTTGTGTTTTGACACTATCTTGTTAGCATTTCATCTTGATGGACCTTATGCAGATTTTGCTGTAATTCTCAGACAAGCTAGTGTATGATAATTACCAGTCCCGTAAACAAGTTGTTCTACTAATACAAGTATTCTATTGCAACCACAAAGATTTGGTGTAAATTATTTTAAAAAAATATATAGTTAGGCATAAAGGTGATCTCTGTCTGTTACTTTCTAATTTAGTACTTTCAGAGATATTGGTGCATGATTTGGTTGCATAAGTCCTATGAAGTACATCTTTCGGATTATATGTTACAGTGAAGTTTTTCATAAGTTTAATTTCTGATTATTATACCATATATGTTGTTAAGTCTCATTTCTATACAATTTAGTCAGGCATCTATGCTTTGGAGGAAAAGAGTTACGGATATGGCAGCAGACTACCCTGATGTTGAGCTTTCACATATGTATATTGATAATGCAGCAATGCAACTTATTCGTGATCCCAAACAGGTATTTTATTCATCTATTCACACTTACCAGCCCAAAGTAACTAAGCACTCAAAAACTTATTTTCTTTCCTCTTTCTCTTCTTTTCTCCATAAGTAACAGTGTCGGTTAATTTATTTGTGCAGTTTGACACTATTTTAACCAACAACATATTTGGTGATATATTATCTGACGAGGCTTCAATGATTAGTGGGAGTATTGGAATGCTTCCTTCTGCAAGCATAGGTCAATCGGTATGGGAGTATATTTTGGTGTCACTAATTGCTTGCTTTTTGCTTTTTTCTTCCAATGTTCGGTGTTTCAATAGTTTAGAATTTATTTTATATGACTAAGGACTTTGTTTTATGATTAATTTAGGGACCTGGACTTTTTGAACCTATACACGGCTCTGCTCCTGACATTGCCGGACAGGTTGGACTTTTAGAAAATTGAATCTTAGTTTTGCTTGAATATAGAATGGAAATTTTGACTTATTGAAAAATGAAGGACAAGGCAAATCCATTGGCAACGATCTTAAGTGCTGCAATGCTTTTGCGATATGGTCTTGGGGAAAGCAAGGCCGCAGAAAGGATTGAGGCAGCTGTTATGGAGACCCTAAATAGGGGATTCCGAACTGGTGACATATACTCAGCTGGAAATGTATGTGTACTTAATGAATTGTGATATAAATTCCACATTCTGCATGTTTACGTTATCGTTATATAGATTGTACTCTGTAAATTTTATGTTTTATGTTTTTTTTTTCTTTGGTTGGGGGTGGGGGGGGGGGAGAGGATTGTAGTGTAGCGGGCGGGTTTTCCACCTCTTGACTCTGCTGTCACAACTCACAAGGATTTTAGAAATTTTGGAGTGCATGAGAATCGCATGTGGTGTGACCCTATAACATGTTTCTATCCATGGCAGTGTACACTACGCTTGACTATTTTCTCCTTCCTTCAAATAAAACAAAAAGTGCAGTTAAATTGAACTCTTTCAATGTACACTATATAATGAAATTGGTAATGCTAGCTTTAAAAATGGGTACACATTGTCAGGTTTTGTACACAAGTCAATTTGCTTCTGGTTTGCAAAAGCATTCATTTTACGATGCACAAATTTTGTGACGTTAGTTTCTGAATTTGAATATAATGTATGACTAATTACTTACTTTTGGGATCATTACATTTTTTCTTCTCTTGTAAACCTTTCTTTAGTTCATGACTAATGTGTAATTTTGACTACTGCTCACAGAAATTAGTTGGATGCAATGAGATGGGTGAACAGGTGATGAAGTCAGTAGACTCTCCAATTCCTGCTGCTGTTTGAGTCTGCATTTTCGCATGAAAGCCCAGTGGCTGATATTGGACAGTAGCTCCCTCCAAGTACTGAGGGCATAAAATCCTGACAATTCATTCATGTGGAGGATGATCGAGAAACTGACTCACAATTTTGCGTAGCATGCTATGATATGTGGTAGGTTATTTCCAATTTGGGAATAACAGATTTGCACTGTAATTTCTGATCTATATTAAGAATAATACTGTTAACTCAAAGCCGTAGCAAAATGTGGCATTCAATGTAACCAATTCTTCTGTCTTGTTAACTGTGAGGCAACTGATAGAGGATGAAATAAATAGGGGCCCTGGGTCTATATTTAATGGGGCTGCAATTTGCTCGTGATGACTAAAGAAGGGAGTATTATGTCATCCTCAATAACTAGTAACACTATAATCATGATGAATTATGAAAACCATGGACAATTTTAGTGCTTGTTTGGTTGGAAGATATATCCCTTGAAAATGGAAATTCCTAGGCAATAGCTGAAATATGTTGTGTTTGGTTAGATATTTTCTAGGAATGAAATTTTCAAGGTGAATGTAAATTCTCACATAGCATGGGAAATAACTCACCAAGCAATTAGGAAGGTGAGTGAATTCCTACAATGCATAGGATGATATTTTCTAGGAAATACTAATTCCCATGATGTCAATCAAACACTTTTGCACAATTTTTATGCAATTAGCAAGGGAAAAAACTTCCCATGATATATGATTTCATGTGGGAATTTATTTCCCATGTTGAACGAAACGAGTACTTAATATGCTGCTCTTTGCTATCCTCCGAGGGATATTTCAGATTTTCAGGTGCTATTGTTTAAGAACAACCTTGTTATAAATTAGTCATTAGAAATTACCCTTTAACTTGTCACCCGGTTTTAACACATTGCGTGATAACAAGTACCTGGGTTGTCTGATCCTAATCGAATGCTACACCTGGGTTTGCCTAAGAATTTGCAAGACACCCTATGCTTTGCACACACCTTGTCTTAGCCTTGAGGATGGGCTATAGTTTTGGCATCAGATGATGCCTTGGGGCTTGGTCGGACAGACTGTTAGCTTGGTCCTTGCAGCGGTTGGGAACATTGGAAGCGACAGGATCAACTCTTTCAGTACCAAGAGAGGACCACTGCACGAAGTACATTACCCTGAGTCCCTTATGCTTACGCAAGAATAAAGCGGTCCAAACAGCCCCTCAAACAGATACGGAGTATTTTAGAAGTTGATAGCTCGAAAGGAAATCCAATCTGACAAAATGCAAGACGAACATTGCTAGATAACTGCTTCAACTCAAGTAAAGACGTGCACTGGTGGGGCAACTCGGCATTATGAAACAAAATTGTTGCTTCTACCAGCCAGTTATTTATGAACAATATACATCTCCTACAGACCTACCATACAAAATACATTTCATAGGGGCCAATACAATATACACCCCCTTGATCCCTAGAATCCAACCAAAATTTTGAACGAGATAACTGCACATTCATTGACACACCGTAACTGGTTCTAAGATGGAATCACATGTACCAAAGTTTCGGTGTTTGCCATCAGCAATATTGGTGAGGAAGAAACCTCGTTTTGGAAGCTGATTGATCAGAAGGGTCTCAAGCTGGCAAGCTACACTCTTTCCTTGGACTACGAACGAAAGGAATGCAGCATTCTGCATACCATCTTTTAATCGATGTGCTTGGACTCGACCTTGGAGATCATCAGTCTGCAGCACCATGAAATTCGAAAAATAAGGATCTGTTGATTTGTTACAAACTTACTACGGAGTGATTACTACAGAAGTACATATCTGTAAGATTCCAGCATGATGAAGCAAGGAATGGATGGGATCTTGGTAAAGTTGTTTGCTAAATGGCAAGTAATAGAATTTCAGCAAATAAAGAGCTCCCTTATAAGCCTCTTTTTTTTTCTTTTTTTTTTTTTTTTTTTTTTTCCAAATATTTTTGTATAATATAATGCATAAATTTACCTCTCCAACATATAATTTCTTATCCGGGCGTAACATGACATAAACACTTGAAGCACCTATTGTTGATGGAGGTGGCTGTTCCTTAGCGGCAATAAAAATGCAATTAATCTCTGGAATTTGAGACGAGTCTGCCAATTTATGAAGCTCAGCCAACTTCTTCTGGCATATGGCAGTAACAGCATTATAGACTTCTCTCTTTAGAGTTTCCACTTGGGTAGCCAAGTTTAAGTTAGAAAAGGAAGTACTCATGTCGCAGCGAGCTTCATTAGCGTTATTCACTATAGCAGTAGAGCCAAAACAATCAGATTTGTCATATTTCAAAGGCATCTCATTTGCATATACAGAAAGATATAATTCTTCAGCTCGTTTGACTAGAGTTTCAGGTACCCCTTCTCTTTGGGCAGTTTCAAATGCGAGGCTCTCTTTACAGATTCCATCTACTAACTTCCAAGTTGGTATTGTTTGACCATCAACAAATTCTGCACTCATTGCTTTGTTAACAGATTTGCTTCTTCTCAGCGGCAAATCAAAGATTCCATGCAAGTGAGTTGATACAATACCCAAACAGCCAATCGCATCCAGAGTTTCAACAATACTACCTGCAATACAAGTTCCCTTTGCTGTTTCTGTTCCTCGGCAGATTTCATCTATGAGAACAAGACTTCTTGAGGTCGTTGCAGATAGTAGTGAACGCATCTCTGACATTTCTATCTGAATTTTTTATATTTAAAATCAGAAACTTGAATGCAGTCCAGACATAAACAACTGAATTTAACTGCTGACTAGGCACTAGGTAGGGGTGGGCAAAAATTCCGATCCAACGATCCGATCTGGGATCCGGTTTATCCGATCCGAAAAATTAGATATCCGATCCGGTTTTTTCGATTTCGGATCGGATATCCGAAAATTTTCAGATCGGATTCGGATCACGAATCTAGAAAAATCTAATATCGGATCCGATCCGATTTTTCCATATAAAATAAAATTATAAAAAAAAATTAACTAATTTGCAACAAACTCCCACTTAGAATGTTAGCTCTAATTATAATGTAATACTGTATTTGTATCTTGGATTTTAAGGAAGTGATTTTTTATTTTTATTTTTATTTTTACAAGCTAGTATTTTTTAGTTGCCTTAATAATCAAGCGAACCTTATTGCATCATTTTGCTTGAATTTGTTTCGTTTATTTAAATTTTTTATAATTATTACGAAAGTTCATAAAATATAAGATTTTAAACAACTCAAATCAAGGGCATTTTACCAAAAGAAATACCAAAATTTCAATATTAGTATGCAGATCGGATATCCGGTGATCCGATCCGAAATTTCGAATATCCGAAAATCGGATATACGGTTTTTTTCGAATTGGATTCGGATGAAATTTTGGATATCCGAAATGGCCACCCCTACCACTAGGTGTTAATTCTTTTAAATATTTTTTTTAATAGATATCCCAGGCAACGTACCTGAAAAGAGCTTTTCCCATCAACAGGGCTATCATAGGATTTCATGTGAAGAATAACAGCATCAAAATGAGGGATTGAAGCAGACTCTGCAGGAACCATAAACCCACATATTCCAAGTAAAGCGGCTGCACAGACTGATCTCAATAAACTTGATTTACCACCTCCGTTTGGTCCTGTTAGAAGGAACAATGATTTCATGTTGACAGTATTGCACACTGCATTGCCTTGAGCTATATCAAACCAGTATGGGGATAGACCGGTCATCTCCATGCTTAAGGATTCACCATCCAGCTTTCCATTCTGTATACAGACATGGATACATCAAATACCCAGTTTGGGCAAGAAGGATCAGCACTTCAGGAAAGGGTAGGAGAAGGAAGGAGTGATTCTTCTTTCTTTCTTTTTTTTTTTATTTTTTTATTTATTTTTTTTTATTTTTTTTTTTTTTTTTTTTTTATGTTAGGGGGGGATTGGAATCAGGAACACTACCTGTGAGCTGCTAAATTCCACCAGAGTAGGAAAGACCCATTTCCTTCTCCTTCCTTCACTGTAAATACAAATGAAGATTGGCATGTATTAGTTGCATTACTTGATCTTGTGTCAAAAATTTCCAGCTCTCGGATGGCAAAAAAGTAGTCCTAATATTAGAAATTTTGCTTAGATACAAATAAAAAGAAACTCAATTACACATGTATCGACTATGAAGGCATTGCAATAGGCTGGTTACAGCAACTAGATGTTATTTTTTTGGCGGGCAACAACTAGTAGATGTTAAATGCCGAAAGGATTAAATTTGATTAAATATGAAGCTCAATCTCTCTGTCTTGGCATGAATAGTGCTCATATTATCACTTTCGCCTAATGTCCTGACACACAGATTTAAGAAGCATACACCTTAGTAATAAAGATTCCTCAGCAAAGACTTGATAAAGCCATAAATTACATCAACCAAAGAATACCATCATAAGTCAACTATTAACGAAAACTTAAACTGCATCGAAAGATAGCAAGAGTACTGAAAGATAAAAAGAGTCTAGAATGTGCAACTCTGCAACACTAACCTGACATGTGAAAATAGAGCCTTTGCAATAACAAGCATCATGGATGCAAAGACAAGAACGTTAATTTTATGTTGTAACTCAGAAGACAGACCCCTCAGCAGTTCAAGAACTTTGGCTTTAGCCTTTTCATTAGCTTCATGGTACCTGAAACCCAAAACTTATTTCTTAAGCATTTTTCATTGTTAAATCATAATTCAATTCTAGTTACAAATCAGAAGCAAACCTCATCAATGCATCCTCCACCTTTGTCGTGGTAAACCATTCTTCACTGACTTTCTTCCCTTTCGAATCTAATGCATGTTTCAGCTGTTTAATTTGTTCCTCCCCTGGGGTCCCAGACCATACTGATGGTACAAACCGCTTTCCTTTAAACCAAACAGCCTCATGTTCTCGAGCATAAAGAATTTCACCCTTTGGCCCCCCAAGTGGCGCTATAGAAGCTCTTATCCTTGAAATAATGGGTAGAAAATCCTCCGATACCTAAAATATGTGATAGGCACAAATGGTCATTGGAAGGTATCTTATGCTGTAAGCCTGTAACTCTGTAAATTCCGGTAAGAAAACATAACAAATACAAAATAGACAACAACAATTGAGTCATGTTGAGTGATGAATAGATTCATTTAATCCAATTTAGCAGGACACAGCTGTAAAATATAACAGCTACAATAAGCATCCCCACTAACAATCCTCAATGTGTTTGCCCCAATCCAAGGCAAACTGGAATGCTACTCAATTCTTTGGTCACAGGAGCAAGGATACAAAGAATTATGATTTAACCCCCTGTCGAAAGTAGAATCCTCTTGTGAGGAGCTTGGTTGA